GTAGTGAATTTAGTTATAACGAACCTATTCTGTTGAGCAACAAATTTCAGCTCTTGGCTTCTGCAGAAGAGGAACTACTGGAGGGAAGGAAAACAAAAGGGTCAGAGAAGGATATGGATGATAAGTAGGTTATAGTTATAGGTGATTCCTTGACAAGGCATGTCAATAGGATAGTCTGTGGGATATATAGGGAGAAAAGAATCAGATTATGCTACCCAGAGGCACAGGTGGAGGATATAACTGACAGAGCAGGAGATATAATAAAGAGGGCTAACAGAGATGCAATTGGTGCTACTATAGCATGCGATCTACAAAGATACTATCATCATAATAATTTTAAGTTTTGTTTATTTATTATTGGCACCATTTATGATAAATAATGCTTTTAAACTAATAAAGTTCAAAATACCATTACATACATGTTTTTAGGTCAAATATAATCAGAATGAAATAAATTCCAGCAATCAACAGTAGCACAATTATAACCCAAATTTGAGGTACTCTTTTCAAACATACACTTTATTAAGTTATTATTATTTGCTGAACAAAAAATATAAATTATTTAGCAAGAAATTATGTTTTAGTGAATCATTAAAACAGTGATGATGATAGTAGCCGTGTTGACTGCACACTATAGTAACACTGAAGCAGTTTTTGTGGTCCATATAGGAGGTAATGATGTAGGGAAAGATAGGTCAAATGAGCTAATTAATAAGTACAAAGGGTTGATAAAGGCATTTAAAGAAAAAGGTCATAACTTAGTTTTGTCAAGGATACTTCCCAAAATTAATTGAATGAAAGTTATAAGTAGGTCATTAGGCTAAATGCTAGGCTTAGGTTAGTATGTAAGGATGAGTAGATTGGCTGGTTGGACTTGTTGGATCAGTTCAGTCGAAGAAGGGAGCTTTTTTGGAATGGATGGTTTACATTTAAGTAAGATAGGGGCTGGCTTGTTTGCTAAGGCTATTAACTCAGCTGTAAGGGATGTTTTAAACTAGGACTAGACAGTGGTGAGAGCCAGGAAAAACAAATACAAAAAGAAGAGGCAGAAAAATTTTTAGCATAGAAAATTAGTATAGAAGTAGTTATAAGGGTATGCTTAATTGTTACTATTGTAATGTTGGAAGTATAAGGAATAAAATAGATGACTTTAGAGCACTGGTAGGAATGGAGGATTTTGATATAATGGGAATAACTGAAACATCATTAAATGCTGATGACACAAATTTCTTTGAAATACAGGGTTACAGGCTATTTAATAGGGATAGAGTATTAAAGAGAAAATGTGAGTTACATCCTGTTGAAGTTGAGGATATTAAAGATAATAGCAAAGAGATTGAATCCATTTGGGTTTCTGTTAGTGGGAATTTGTTAGACTACCAAATGTTACTGATGAAATTAGTGAGAAACTTTACAATGAGATTAAGATTTCAGCTGTTAATGAAGTCATAATTCTGCATAATTTTAATTTCAAGCATATAGATTGGGAAATGCTAGAGTCAAACCATGAGAGAGAAAGATTTTTAAAAACTGTTCAAGATGGATTTCTTTACCAATTAGTCAAGGAACCTACTAGAAACAGTGCTATTTTAGATTTATTATTAACTTCAAACATAGAAATAATCGAGAGGGTGTGTAAATTGGGTAACATTTGGGTGCAAGTGATCACTGCTCTATTAGGTTCAATATTTTGCTGCATAAGGAGATAAGGAATAACTATATTTTGGTTACAAATTTCAAATAAGCAAATTATGAAGGGATGCAACAAGAATTGTCTGTTGTGAATTGGGCAGCTGAATTATTTGGAGACACTGACCACAAATTGACCAAGTTAGCAAATTGGATGGAAGAAAGCAAAGGGTTGTTAGAAATGGAGTTCAGTCAAAATGGATTAATGTCACAAGTGGGGTACCTCAGGGCTCAGTCTTAGGACATTTACTCTTTTTGATTTACATCAATGACGTAGATGAAGGAATGGTCAATAAATTACTTAAATTTGCAGATGATATTAAAGTCTTGGATGTTGCTAGCTGTGAAGAGGATGCTGCTGAATTACAAAAGGATTTAGATAACTTTGTGAGTTGGGCAAATAAATGGCAGATAATAAATGCATGTGGGATATCATAATTTCAATTATAAGAATAATTTGGATGGTTATAACCTTAACAGTTTCATGAAAGAAAGAGATCTTGATGTAATAGTTGATCAGTTTCTTAAGCTATCCAGGCAGTTTGCTGTTGCTAGTGCAAATAGGATTTTAGGTTGTATCTATAGAAATGTTGAATACAAGTCTAAAATAGGTTATAATTTCATTGTATAGGTCACTGGTTAAGGCACATTTGGAATACTGTATTCAGTCTTGGGTCATTAATTTAGGAAAGATATTGAATTGTTGGAAAGGGTTCAGAGAAGGGTTACTAAAATGGTGCCTGGGATGGAAGGGTTGTCATATGAGGAGAGGTTGAAATCTCTCCAATTGTTTTCTATTGATAAAGAAGAGTTAGGGGGATACAATTAAGGTGTTTAAAATTGTAAACTGAATTGATAGTGTTGATGCATCATCTTTTTTCATATTTAACAGTGAGAACAGTAAATATAAATTTTGGCAGGGAAGGAGTCATCTTTGGCTAAGACAGTTTTATTTTTCTAACATGGTGGTTGGCCTTTGGAATGGGATGCCTTCAGACGTCATTGAGGTAGTAAATTTAAGTGAGTTTCAAAAAAAGCTTGATAATTATATTAATGATAAGAGCTGGCTAGCTTTAAGACTTTTTTTTTTAATTTATTTATTTTAATTTAGTTTAGAGGATGGAACAGCCGAGATGAACTAATAGGTCCCATGTTGTTCCAAAATGTTATGTTATGAGTGAGAATCTAATTATACAATAGATGCTTACAAATATACAAATGATGATTAAAAATTTTAGTTCAAATTACTCTTGCTCAAGTCAAAACAGTGTGAGAGCATTTAAAACCAAATACATCTAGAACACCAACTATATACAGAAGATGGGCCACTCATATTTTTTATCTACCAATATTTATACTGGTTTGTAATATTGTTCTACATAACAGGAATGTAATCTTTCTAGCACTATGCCATGACCATTGAAACTTGTACAAAATAACATTTTACTGTATAGTGTTTCCAGAGCTAATGGTTAGTACTATGTAATCAAAAAGCAAGATATTTTATTCAAAGTCTGGTTCAGGCTACTGACCTATAAAATGGATCATACTAATAGCTGAAACTCAACCAGTGATAGACTAGTATTCTGTCAATAAAGTGAAAAAAATTCTTATCCATATTACCATAGGAAACCAGAGTTAAGCCTTTAAGACAGAAGGGATTTAATTAACTTACTATATAATATTTAATAAAATCACAAACCCTAGAGTTCTTGTGACATGTTTCTAGTGGGTGTTAAGAGTGTTTTACAGCACTTAATTGAAGACTCGTGTTTGTGATGGTTATTTGAATGTTTTATAGTTCTTAACCAACAGGTAAATCATTCTGAAAAAATACATTTACAGCTTTCAATTCAGGGGTGGTACATTCTTAGTTTTGTAGCTCTTACCTGAAGAATGACATATTTTAAATTAATCTCAGGATATTTTATAGTTCAGTACATTTCTGTTTGGTTCAGGATACTCTGTAGTTCTCATTCAACTATGTATATGTTTATGATGGGTGTCAGCATGTTTTATAGCTTTTACCCAAGAAGTACATTTATGGTCAAGATACTTTGTAGTTCTTATATATATATATATATATATATATGTGTGTGTGTGTGTGTGTGTTTCCAGTGTGTATCAAAGTATTACATAGCTTTCACCCAAGAATTGCATTTTTGTTCAGGATCAGAATATTTCGTAGTTCTTGTTTGTTTGTAATTAAGCACAAAACTACACAATGGGCTATCTGTGCTCTGCCCATCATGGGTATCGAAACTCGGATTCTTGCATTGTAAGTCTGCAGACGTACTGCTGTGCTACTGGGGGGCTTATAGTTCTTATTCAACTACGTATATGTTTATGGTGGGTGTCAGGATGTTTTATAGTTTAACCCAAGCAGTCTTACATTTGTGATGGGAGTCAGAGTATTTTATAACTTACCCAAGAGATACATTTCTGGTTGAAGTCAGAATACTTTATAGTTCTTATTCAATTAAATATATGTTTATGAGGGGTTTCATAGTGTTTCATAATTTCAACCCAAGTAGTCTTGCATTTCTGATGAGATTCAGAGTATTTTATAGCTTTTATTGGTTGGGGTCAAGGTACTTTGTAGTTCTTATTCAATTATGTATATGGGTGTCAGCATGTTTTATAACTTTTACCCAAACAGTACTATGTTTCTGACTGGCATCAAGGTGTCTTATAGCTTTTATCTAGTCAGTTTCATGTTTATGAGGAGTATAAATATACATTATAGCTTTTACTCAAGTAGTCTTGTTCTGAGAGATGTCAGGATGTTTTATATAAGAGTAATAATGCTATAATTGTTTATGAAATCCCACTACACAGTTATTGAAGACACTAACTAATAAATATGTGAAGTGTCATTTCTGAATGTAGCAAAAATAATAATTAATGTGTAGTAAACCTAGCTGAAATTTATATTTATCTAGTAAACCTCACGTTTTGATCAAAGTTGGTAAAAGATAGCCAAAGTAACACATTTCAAATACTTTAACGTTACTTTTTTACTGATAAATTAATTATTTTTGATAAACTAGAAAAACATGCAAGAGGTATTCAAGAAATCACCTAGTATACAGATCTGAAATAAAGTGTAAACCTGTAAATTGTACTATATGGAAGAATGTATGCATTACTAAACTGTATTGGGAAGTTTCGTATTTTATTAGGAATCAAATTAGTTTAAAAATTGAAACAAAGGAGTGTATGATAAGAAATCTTGTTGTTTATATGATATTAATTAATAAAGTTCTTGATGTTGATAGTGTTTGAGATACAAAAATTAATAACAAGGCTTCTCATTAGAACACAGATCTGGGCTATTTATTTCAACCTCTTGTTACCTACACTGTGATATGAAGAACATCACAACAAGATACTACTGCATACTCAAACAAAAGTTGACAAGTTAGGTACAATACATAATGAAAGCAGAGACAGCATGAAACTAAATACATATGTGATATGTTGAACCTGACAAAAATACATCCATTTCACTAATGAGAATACTAATGGTCTTCCTTGTGAAAAACTTTAAAGTGTATGAAAAGATGGAAATTTATGACAAGAATTACACAGTAACAGCTGTAGCCAATTTCAAGACAATAACGGGACCATGCAAATCATAACGAGCTACGTACGAAACTCCAAGACAAAGAACTCTTATGTACATTGATAAACATCTCTTTCTAAACAAACCCTGTTTGTTAATGTAAATTGATATTAACAAAAATGTTCTTGACTGGTGAAGAAATTGTTGGGACAATAAAAAGTCACATAACACAGACAAATCCAGTCCGGAACACCATGAACTTTGCTTCAACCAGGAACAGCCAATAAATAATTCACTACATGGTCTTGGGAAGAAGCTGTCTTACTCAAGTAAACTACACATACTGATGCAGGAGAATGACATCAGGGTTGACGTTTACTTCACTGGGTGTTGACTGACTTTAAACACCATACTACAGGGCCTGAACAGCGGTAACCAGGCCAGCTTGTAAAACAAATTAGTAGTCACCTAAGAAGCTAAAACAAGCCCTTCTTCTTTTCTTTCTTTTTCTCTTTTCCATCTAGGTGCCTGTCACACATAAAAATTAGAAATCAACTTAAAGCACACATAACTTATTTCTTATCAGCAAACAACAAATATGAAAAGTTTCTTTGCGAAAAAACATTCTACACTAAAGTTCTTGTACAAATAGTTCACGTGATAAGACTAATATTCTTAGAAGAGCCACAGCTACTTGGCTTCACAGGTATTAGGGTTTACTTATTTTCTAAAAATAATAAAGTTATAATTTTCTTAACTTGTTACATCTTTTACGGAATAATTTCAGTAACTTTGACTAGTTTTAGGCTTACGGTGTACTTCATATCATGAGGTTATCAATTTGGTACCTCATTCTGAAGAAGAATGTTTCTCTATACCTACACTAGACAGTCTATAGTTTAATATGTTGTTATATTCAGAACAACATATTGACTAACTTTTACTACTTGGAACATGTCAAAGTGACTGTAACTTAGCTGACATCTTCAAGAAACATTTCTTAGATCACTTGCTTACTTGAAAATACCTACTTCAATTTTTCATTAGTTCTATTTGATTAGATCTAATAATTGTATCCTAAGTGGCGTAGTACTTGCCTATGTTCTTGGTGACCCAAGTTCAATGTCCTGTAGGTTTAGCTTAAAAATCGAAATTCTTTAAATTGAAAATATGTATTTGTGTGTGATAATTCTGTAATAATTCTGAGCATTAACAATATTAGTGTGTGACAAAATATTACTTTACATGTTACAAAGGCAAATGAAAATATTTTCTTTTAAAAAATAAGCAGAACTAAATGTTATGTACATATACTGATATATATATTTTTCATTAGCTTTAAACTTTCACATAGTCATAATGAATAAAACAGTAAGATTATTTATATTGATGTACATGCCAGTTTGATGCTTTCTCTTTCATTCATGCAGCCAGGAGAAATATAATTTTGTTATATGAAATCAAAAAACAATTTAAACAATACTGACAGAAGCTAATACAGGCCAATTTAACACTGGTTTGTCACTAGCTAAAGAAGAAAATAATTAATTAATTGTAGTTATTGTACACTATTTAGTATAAGATATTTTGTTAGAGTAAGTTTCTTGAGCAGACATTCTTATGTTTACTGATTTTATAAAAATGTCCTCTTTTTAATAGCTTTTCTGCTTAGAAATTTAGTATTTATCATATATTTAGTTTATTATTTCTTATTGTATCTCATCAAAGCACTTGAATCTACCATGGATCACATTAACCCACACTAACAATGTTCTTACTCCTTAGAATTAGTATCCAGAGTCAATTTCCGAAGGGTTTCATCTATATCCTTGTTAGCTACTTCAAATGCTGTTCTTTCCTTTTCAAAATCTTTCCACTTCTGGTAGAGCTCCTGTTTCTGCTGTTCTAGAGCCTTGCGCATCTGTTCACTTCTTCGATGAAGCTGTTAGAAAATTAAAACAGTAAAACTAGAATTTCTTGTATGAAAGTTTACTTTTGAATTTTAACATACAGAATGATGTACAAGTTATTTAGCCTTGTCACCTTTTGGTAGGTCCTAATTTACAGCCGATTTTAGTTGTCACAAAGAAACATTTTTCATTGAGTGTATACTTTTAGAATATAAATTCAAACTTAATATACAGAAAAATTATTCTGTAAAAAAATAACTGTTTGAAAAATATGCAAAACTCCAAACATATGCTACATTGTTTAGAATGGCCCATTATTTTCATCTGGTTTTCTGGAATATGGCAGAAATTGTCCAAATGTTGTTCTTGTAAGTATTTCTGTCTTGCATGTGTTTGAGTAAACTTGTACTTTTGTTTAAAATAAGAATCAATGAAAACAACCTGATAAAATAAATAATGTAAATAGGAAAATATTATACTTTGTTCACTAGCAATTCACAAAATCCATATAGAACCAAAATTATTACTAAACCTTCAGTATCAGCTTTTATTTCAAGTAAAATGGATTATCAATGCATGAGTGCTGGGTTTCAAAAACGACAACATGATTTTGACTTACTTCTGCCTCCGAGTCTTTCAGCTTGTTTATTTTCTCCTTGACTTTCATGTCAAATACTTGTTCCATTTCTCTTTCCATTCTCTTCATCTTGGTCTCATGGTCTTTTTTCTCTTCTTCCATCTGAGCTAGTGGGTTCCTGTAGTGATAAAGATCAATTATAAAAAATAAATTAAATTAGTATTCTGCAAATAGACAACTCATAAAAGTTGCACATTTAATAAAATTACAAAAGGAAAGCAAAAGAAAACTACCCTGTTGTGAAAGCAAGAACAAAACAAAGATTAATCTGGAATATCATGAGGTAAAGTTTGTTTGACTGAATGGCAGTTTCAATATGATTCACAAACTTAAACTCCATTCAACTATATAGTTTTACAGGAATTTTAATTATGCAGTGTAAACTTTTTAGAAACTCCCAATGTCATGATACACATTACAAACACTGAAACAGTCATTTAACATTGACTTTGTTTTTAACTTATAAATCTAGTTATTGATTGCTTAAAAAATAAAAAGCTAAGTGAATCGTGAAACTTAACTTTTAAAATATAAATTCATAATTTCAAAATGAAAATTAACGCTTCAACTCTTCTGGTCTCTAATTATTAGTTTTGAAGTTAATGTCTTTTTCCAATCTAAAATTGAAATAATCTGTTGTTTTGAACACAAATTGGTTTTACAAACATTCAAGAAAATATTGATACTAAAGGTAAAGGACAAGAAAAAATTATAGCATAAGTAATATATAACACTGTAAACCTCGTTTTTTAGCGAGCAGGTACAAATCATCAACTTACTGATGAAGCAAGTTCCATGGCATAAACTATTTATTGTTTAAAATTTTACTAACCATAAATTTGCAACTTAACCCAGACAAGGAATAAATGTGGGGTATATAATATTTGAAACATTTTCAAATTAAAAATATGCTACAATGATGGCAGTGGATTATGGTTTCCATTCTGTGAAGAGGAAACATTTAATTTTTTTTTTTTTTAACTGGGGAATTAGACAATATTCTGTGCTATTTCCTGTTTTAATGCATAGAAAATAAATGATGAATACCATGGAAATATCAGAACATGATCCTATTTACCTTATTACTTATGACTGCAAGAATGCAGTTGATGTGGATGTGACCATTAAAAGTTATCAAGGAACAGAAGGCAAAGATAATTTAAACAAAAAAGAATACAAAGAGAACTAGAAAAGAAAATAAGAAAGCTTTTTTCCACTTCTTCTCCAAAAGCAAAATCTGTTGTCTCGGATCTTTAAGATAGTGATTCAGAAGTTAACAATGCATCTTTTACCCCTTTGGGCAACAAGAAAGTCAAGCCTATTGATTCTGCTTCTGGATTGATATCTATGATTATCATCAAGAAAAACCAAAGATTCTCTGACAGACTATAATGACCACTTCAAAGTAAGCCATTCAAGATATTCTGAAGGGTTATTCAAAGCAAGATTACTGTATGACCAGAAGAAGAACAGTTTTTGAAAAGGATTGCATACTGCCAGAATTTTCTAAGAATATATCTTCAATGAACATTTCGAATTTGAACATGACTGTTCAATGCACTACATAAAGGATAGCCTTCACATATCAAACAAGAATTAATACAGTCATTAGAGAACAGACTACAAGAGTTGCAAGTTTTGATGTTATTACTGGGATATGCAGCATTGATGAATCAACTACAACCAGGTTTGTCAACATTTGAATGAAACTGAAGCTATTAATGGAAAACAATTAAGAATTGTCAATCAATGAAGGGTGATATCAAAATGGAGGGTCAAAAGAAGACATTTGTTACAGCTGTTGTTGTAATCAACTTCAACATGAAATTCATAGCTACATATTTCAGAGAATAAATAATAGAAAATTATGGTAAAATAAGAATAAACTGGCAAGAAGCAAAAATATAAAATTAATCCTTGAATGAAATAACTAGGAAAACTGTATCCCACAACTGATCATGTATTAATAGGTAACAACAACGAAGATGGTTTTGCATTTTTTTCCTCCACCAGAATCCATATTGAAGAGCATGTGAAATGCCACACATGAAAAAGGTTATATTTCAAAGTGATTACAAAAAATGTTATACGAGTAAGGATATCTTAATTTTACTTGAATGACAAGAATTAAAGAAAAAACATGTCATCCACCATAGGCAACTGCAGAGATGGGATAGGAGCATTTGCATCCCCTGGAAAATGACAAACTAATTATTTCTTTCTTTATTCATTCTATATACTTATATATATATATATATATATATATATACTTGATTTAGACTTTGCCCCTCTATCCTGGAGAAATTTCTGTGGGTGCTCAGAGCAAGTTTCCCATACAGCTACAGCACTCAGATTTCAAATATTAAGATGGAAAACAACAGCAGCAAGAAATGTATGTTCATTGTGAAGATTAACAATGTATGTAACTTTCACAGTTATATGGACTTGCTGGTTCAAGCATGGAGAACTTTAAGGGATAAAATATATCTTGCATTATCATGACAACTTAGAATGATTAAAAAAATAATCATTAGAGAAGCCATTGGAAGGCATAATTGAGAAATATCATTTGCTGAAATTCTTGGGTGAATATGATTTACTAAGTGATTTTGAAACAACAGTACTTGGGTTTGGATAAGAAGGGGAAGTACTGAGAATCCAAGTTACAAGAATATGGATTCTAAATATGAGCAAGTAATTATCAGTATACTTGATATTGAACCAGAAAGTTTTGATATGCCTTATAGAAATTCTCAGAACATCTCAATGACAAAACAGTAGGTGTATTTCCAACTGATTTGTAAGTGAAAGCTATGATAGCTACTTCAAAAAACAGCCAGGAAAAATGATAATTTCTTACTGGATCTAAAATATAAGAACTAATCAATGGTCCTGTTTATCATTCTAATTACTTATTTATCTTGAAGCTCATCTATTGTTCCCTTTGTTAAAACATTTCCAAAAAGTCTTATTTCATACTTTGTTTCTTACTACTATTATTCAGATACTTCTTGTTATCATTCGTGCTGAAATATCTAAGTTTCTGGCTAAATCAAAAAAGGAGAACTTTAACAACCAATCTCAAAGTTTTATCAAATTCAGTTTCAGTTTTTGTGCCAGTTTTGAATTCTTCAGACTCAAGTTCAAACGATACAGTAATTGAAAAGTTAAAACTAGCAATACCAAGTCTGGGGATGTGAAACTTATTACAACATTTTAGGGATTTTAGCCTAGTTAATTTATAAATACAGGGTTAATATATAAACAAATAACATTAAATAAAAAAGGGTATATCACACCTTTCTAACAAAATAATAATATAAACTTTTTTAAGAATTCTATTCAGACTGAATTTTACAACTTGAATCTTTTTAAAATTATGAACTAATCTGTGTCAACTGATCAAACTTCGACAAAATAATACATACATTTCATAAAAAACTTTTGTAATACTGGTAACATAAATTTGTCCCAGAAAATAAATATCTAAGTGCAATTAAACATTAAAATGAAAAATCAGCAAGCAAATTTTAACCTGTGCTTTAAATTAAAATTCTCTCTCTGACAGATCAGAACAATGTTATGAAAAACAACAGTAGACAATATACATGAATGTGGCCAAACTACATTCAGGAAACAGGGACATTAAAAAAAAACTTCAAAAGCAAATAAAAAAAAACTTGAACCAACATTTGAGAGTCAGATAACTCTTAACAGCTTGACCCTACCTACAAGTGATGCACATGCACAAAGACATACGAACAAATATAGACAGGCATTCACTAATTGTGTAAACAAACTTACCAGAATACTATACAGGTGTTAGATATCCTTTGTTGGCAATAACTAACAACAACCATTAAAGAATCAGTACAAATGACAAAAATATTAAACTTTTAATTCTACAAGCCTTAGTTTAATCAGGTACATTAAAAGATTACATATTTGATTAGTGTTCAAAATGGAAACATTTCAATTAAATCATAGATAAAGCAATGTGAACAATATATATATAAATAAATAGATAAATAGCTCGATGACTATCAATTATAATTATTGCTATTAGGCGATTTAGATCAGCACTATTGAACAATAAAGAATTTATAAACATTTAACGCATATACTTTCCTCTCCAGTCGGTTATCCATAGTCATAAACAGATAAAGCTTGTGGTAATAGCAACCAAAAAGCTTTGGAGATATCCCATCTATCAAGCAAAATCCAAAACGCTGAAGTTAAACAAGTTGACCATCATGGAAATTCAAAACAAGGGTGAAGAGGTGAGTGCTTAAACTCACAACGTCTCACCTCCTACTGTTTTGTCAAATGCTTAAACTCACAACGTCTCACCTCCTACTGCTTTGTCAAATGGTTAAACTCACAACGTCTCACCTCCTACTGTTTTGTCAAATGGTTGAAACATTGTGGGTTTAAGCAGTCACCTCTTCACCTTTGTTTTGATTTTCAAGGTAGTCAACTTGTTTAACTTCGGCATTTTGGATTTTGCTTGACAGATGGGATATCCCCAAAGCTTTTTGGGTGCTATTACTACAAGCTTTATCTGTTTATGACTATGGATAACCAAAATGAAAGCATGTGTTAAATTATTATTATTATTATTATT